TATATATTTAGAGCATTAAGCAATCAATAGGCCTTTCTCAATCCTCCATAAATCATAATTAATTTTTATGCGTTACTATTAAAGGAAAGGGAAAATTATAACATCTTAATATTTAAAATGTTAAAATATTTAATCACATGTTTTTATTTCCCATTCTTTATCAAATAAATAAGTTTATAAATATTGAGAATATATTTGAGCATCATGCCTTTGTTGCAAGTGGATTACTAGAAGCAATATCCATTTGATAGTGTCCTTGAAATAATCAACAAGGGGTGGATTATGCACCAAACATTAAATTGCACAATCAGAAACAAAATTTTCCAAGATTACATAGTACTCTCAAACCCAATCCATGTCACCAGTAATATCAAGTCATAATTCTAGGTAAGGATTAGTTAATTTTAACGAGTAAAACAATGCTATATACAATTTGACAAAAATAAATGTCGCAAAAAGTACCTTTGCTAAGATAGTCATCGGTATCAAAATGTTCTACTTCACAGCTACAATTGTTGTCCATTAAGGTATTTCCTCACTTTTTCAAATTTCTTGTAATTTCTTCAAACTATTTATCTGAGTTTCTAATTGCAAATTTCACATTTTAGTTCATTGTAAAACAACTAAGGTGAAGAGAGCCATGCTTTCAGACTTCAAACGCTTGGATGAAGAATGGAAAGGAAGTGTGTCATTCAAACCCATTGTGCCATATCTTATTTGGATTATATTGCTTGTGGGATCAGTAATGATGTTACAGCAAACACAAAGGTTGTCAATACATATTGATTTTGTTATTAATAGGTACATAAAGTGTATCGAATTATATTAGATACCGTTTTGAATTTATTGTTATAAATAAATAAATATAAATATAAATACAAATTAAAGAGATAACTTTGTAGTGATTTTTTTCTTTAAAAAAAATTATTAAATATTGAAAATGTATATAATAACTTTAATAACTTGACTCTAAAATTATGTTGAAACTTTTATTCTTTGATTGAAATATATGAGTTTTCTTAAATATTTTATAACAATACAAAATCCAATTCAAAAGTCAATTGCAATTTCACATGTGGTGGTCATTTTTACCTTGTTTTTTTAATTATGAAAAAATTCTTATCCCTTAGTTTCTTTACTCTTTTTACCATAACACACGCTCCTAGTTCTCACTATTCTCTCGTTTCTTCCTCCTATCCAATGACTCCGATGACGCTATGGATTCTGATTAAACTTTCTGTTTTCCAATCTCTCCTTTAATTTCCATTACATTCTAAGTCTAAAGCAAAAAAATTTTGCTTTTTCACCGACTTCTTAATTTCTACTTTCTTTTATTTTTCTTTTGAATTCTTTCTTCAAATCTAAGTTTTTGATCTAGATTCTAGAAACAAATTGAACACTTGAGTGGAAGAGGTAGAGGGAACTTCCTCAAAAACCAGCCAATCCCTTCATTGGCGAGTTTCCAAGGAGCGTGGCTTCCATATCTGATTATGTTTTTATATTTTTTTGTTTCTCTTGGTGTGAAAAATTCACATATCTGCTTTTTTTTTTATTTCTTTTTATTTTTATTGTTTAGCGTGAAAGTGAGTATAGACATGTCCCGGGTGAAAATCTGTTACACAATATTCTGACTGGTACAACCATTTTCAATTGGCATGGCCAAGATTTAAAGCGATACAATATTAGAAGATTTATGTATCGATTTTGTGTCAAAATCGATACGTATGGATTTTACCGAGTGGTAGGATATGAGATTAACAACCTTGGCAAACACGACCTTTCGCAGTACTACAGTTCTGGTTGCTTGCACTTTTTCCTTATGTAGTAATTGAAGAAATGTATAATTCGAAACTCCATGACATCGATGAGGAAGTGATATTGAAATGGCAAGTGGTGATCAATGATTGTCTATTTTTGAATTTAACCGTGGAGTTTAATTGTAATGGATTATTGAAGGAAATTGTACATGCTTACTAATTTGAAGGCGTCTGCAAATGTAAGTTATATTGAATAACTTAAATAAGTCAAAAGAGTAAAACTGCAAATGTAAGTTATATTGAATAACTTAAATAAGTCAAAAGAG